GGCCTATTGCCTTGTATGTTGCCAGCAACGTTTCTTTGTCTTTGCCCCAAGTACTGCCGGCTAGCGACTTGAGGACCTTGTTGCGGCTCTGTACTTTATTGACAATAGCGGTTGAGTGCGCAGAGAAGGAGAGCAGGCTTTCGAATGTTACTCCGAGTATTTTGGGGTTATTCTTAGCGGTAGCCTGACCTCCTTCGTCCAGGTTGTGAACAGGGTCGCGGAGGATTTCGTAGGGGAGAGGGCTAGACACTTTGCAGTGAAGAAGCGAGAAAGTTCGGAGAGATAGCCGTTTACTTTCGAACACAGGTCATCAATTCCATTCCCAGTCGCCATAATCGAGCAATCGTCGGCATAGGAGACAACCAAGACTCCCTCTGGTGGTTGAGGGAGCTTTGAAATATAAAAGTTAAACAGTAGCGGGGAAAGGACACCACCCTGAGGAACCCCCTGTTTTATTTTTCGCTGCTTACTCGTTTTGTCTCTAAACATTACCGACGAATGTCGACCACTTAGATAATTTGCCGACCACCGTTTGAGCCTCTGTGGGAGAGAGGAGGCCTCTATGTCTTCTAGTAGCGTGGAATGGCAGACGGTGTCAAACGCCTTTGACAAGTCCAGCGCTACTAGAATCGTTCTCTCACAGGGACGGTTACGGTTAAGGCCACGAGTTATCTGAGTGTTTATGGCGTTAAGTGCTGTTGTTGTACTGTGCACTTTACGGAAAACATGCTGATGCTTCGCTGGGGTCAGGTGATTTGTGAAGTACGGGAGTAGCAAGGCGTCGAGTGTCTTCGCTACCGGGGAAAGGAGTGTAATCGGACGATACGAATCTCCTTTGTTGGCAGGTTTCCCCGGTTGGGACCACTCTCCCCACCTTCCAGATGTCTGGGATGATGAGAGTGGCCATTGACAAATTGAGGACCTCCGTTAGGTACGCTACCCCCGCAGGACCCAAATTTTTCAGCATCAGCATGCATATTCCGTCGGGACCCATGGATTTGGAGGCTTTCGCCTTCCCGATGGCCACCTGAACTTCACCGCAAGTGAAAGCAAGGGGGGCACAAGTTGTTGGCAGTTTGTGCAGCCTTCTGGTCACTCGACGCTTGGCTTTGTCCACCGGAGGATGCAGTATGAACTGCTGGCTAAAAAAGCTCGCGCAACGCTCCGGGTCCGACGAAGCATGGTCGCCGAAGGAAATTTCGACTCTGTCGTCGTGCTTCGTCGGATTAGACAATGACCTGACGGTTGACCAAAGCTTGCTCACACCAGAGGTGAAGTTACAAGTCTTCAGATGCTCCTCCCAATTCTTCCGCTTATGTACGTTTACAAGTTGCCGAATCTCCGCGTTGAGATCCCTGATACGGGGATCTCCGGGATCGGCCTGACGAAGGCTATCACGCTCATTGGCTAGAACAGCCGCTTCGGCAGGGAAGTTTGGACGTGGGTCCGATATACACCCTGCTGGTATGAAGCGAGCTGCAGCAGCAGTGATAGCCCTGCGGAACTTACGTTCACCGAGATGGACGTCGGTTGGTGTGGGGAGCGATGCTATTATATTTTAAGACGTCCACCAAAATATTTCGAAAAAATATTAAGATTTAAGTGAGCTGGACCGTATTGAAAATACCTCCAAAGACGGAGTTTTTTATGAATAAAAATAGTTTCTTAAAGATTGTTTTTGAAAAAATACCCTCAAATTACAAAACAGTTTAAGCTTAAAAAAATTGCGTAAAAATATCTTAAAAAAATTAAAAAAAAAAATTAAACGGAATCGTAATAATGCGATTTTTGATGCTGTTTTTAACTTTTTTCAAAGATTGGTATAAGAAAAACTTGAATAACTGAGCCTAAACTCTCCCGATTTAGACTTGTGAGATATCATTGGAAAGGTATTTTCTTAACCTTTTTATTTCTTTGCTAATAAATTCATTCAAAGGATGAAAGAGAAAGGTAGGATGAACGGTATTTGAAAAAAAAATATTGGGACACGAACGACTTTTTTTTGTACATAAATAAAATAAAAATACCTTTCTACCGTGATCCCATAAGTCTAAATCAGAATAGTTTTGGCCCAGTTATTTAAGTTTTTCGTAAATCAATCTTTGAAAAAAGTAAAAAAACAGCATCAAAAAT